TGCAAACATTTATTTGTCAGACTCTTCTAATAATAGAAATTATACAACTAAACCCGTCCTACAATTAACTTTTATTAAGCCCCTTGTCAGTAGGCATGTAGATCAACATGCTGTATATAACCAAATGACATAAAAAATTACAAGAAATTAACATTTATCTAAAACTGGATGAAATAACAATAAAACTGATCAAATTATATTTTTATTAAAACACTAGGTAAAAAAAAAAGACAAAACAAATATCATAGAAAAGAAGACCATGGGACTTAGAAATTATCTGAAGCAAGGAAGATAATGTACTAACAACAAAGGTGATGGCATCAACCTACCATCGTTGGGGGTCCAAAACATTTGTGCTTTCTACTGTTTGAAAGGAAATTGTTAAGTCATCACGATCTGATGTTTTGCAGCAAAATTACACAAATGTAACATGTATAAGTTTAAAACTAGTGGGCCAAGCAATATACCCTGGAGAACTCCATAAAGTCTAGTAAAGTTTAAAGACTCATCATTAGCATAAAATAGTGCAATTAACTAAGTGATTGCCAAATAAATTTTCTAAATGTAATTTGTGTACTAAAACATTGCATGATCAAAGGGTGTGCGGAATCAGTGTGAGAGTGATGCTTCAATGACATCTGGAAACAGAGATTTTGAAATCAAATGCCTCACTGAATAGGTTTTGCAAATTAGGGGTGTCCAGCTTCAGTCCTCAAGGGCCAGTGTCCTGCATGTAGTTCCTGCTTCACCACACATATGATTTAAATGAATGGATGATTACTGTAACAGATCGTTGCTGAACTACATAATCTAAATCAGGTGAGCTGAAGTATGGAAACATCTAAAACAGGCATGCCCAAAGTCGGTCTAAGAGGGCTGCTGTCCTGCAGGTTTTAGATGTTTCTCAGCTTTAGTGCAGCTGATTCTGATGATTGGAGTTGAGCAAAAGCCTGTTAATCAGCTATCAGTTAAGATCTAAAACATATATGACACAGGCCTGTGACGAGTGACTCTGGGCAAAACGTGGGGGTAAATAAACTGCATTGTGCACGAAGAATAATGAGCCTGTACAGACGACAGTTTCATTTCAATGCAGCATTAGTATGGACAGATGCTGTAAATCCTTCTGGGCCAAGTTTTTTTTAGTATTCCTTGGTGCTATTTTAAAGTGAAAGGTATTGATGAGCAAACGACACACATGGCCTTGGTGTGTCATGTAGAGCTCTACAACATAACATCCTGTGGAAAAATGTGTTTGTCTTTCAATGCAAGACTGGTGAGAGATGGTTATTAAACCTTTAAGATTTGATGTATATTTTCTAGCTGTTTTAGTGACCATGAGAAGATAATCTCTTAGGCTAGCTGACAGAAGCATTTCTGCAAACACTTGAGTACAGTGGCATATACAGAACAAGGCAGGTAGGCTATGAGATAGAGTAGGCAAACATGCAAAGAGGAATGAAAAAAGCATGATGGAAAAGTGGGGGCAGAAGGAGCAAGGGAGGGGTTTCTAATTGATGGTGTTATGGCAGTGTAACAAGCTGGCATGGCCACTTTTCTGCCTCCTCCATCCATCTGTTCATCAGGATTACTCATGAAGAGGAGAAGAGAGGAAGCCGTGGCACCACAGTGCAGAGATCACCATCACATTGTGCAATACCTGAAAGTGAACCACTATTTCTGTGACTCCAATAAACTAACACAAACTCCTGTAATGACTCACCGTTCAAATTATGGCTCAGTTTAACTGAGTGTTCTCATGGGAGTATTCAGGAAACAAGGATGGAAATTAAACATGGAAAACATAGTAGTGATGTGTTATGCAATACTGCATTGCTCTACTTACTAAAGCTAATGCTCCCTGCTGGCAGATCTGTTTGTAGGTTTTCCTCATGGTTGATACAAATGTTTCTATGCATTCCTATTCATATATTTAAGCAGGCCTCTCACTGTTATTGCTGAAAGCAAAGCCAAAGAGAAGTTAAAACTAACTAATATCTGATTGTGTTGATGAATCTGTAAAAGCCAATGTTGCATTGTGTTTTTTTTTTTTTTTTTTTTTAAAACTAACTAATATCTGATTGTGTTGATGAATCTGTAAAAGCCAATGTTGCATTGTGTTTTTTTTTTTTTAATCAAAATATGTGTGTGATATTTTTCAGCAGCAGAATAGGACATTGAATCCTGACCAGTACCATCATACTGGTCATATTCAAACTCTGTTCAAACACGTGCCTTTTCTTTCACCTTGTAGGCAAATTTCTACTTTGCATCATTTTTTTTGTTGCTGAATGAAAATAAAATCTTTCACCTGGCTTAGTTCATTGCATCTCAAAAGGCTAAACACTTTTATTTAGTAATGCTCTAAATGAATGAAAAACACATCTGGGCTCTTAAGAATAAATGCATACTATTAATTGTAATGTACTCACATCTTAAACACAATGTATCATCTTACTCCTGCTGTCATTTATTATGCTCTGTTATAATGTTTGTTGACATTGATGCAACGTGTTGTTTTAAAAACACAATTTTTACACCACTGTCCTTCCTTACAGAACAAGGAAGGCTATTAGCTCAGTTAAAGACTTAAAATACTTCATAATAGGGTGTAGAAAGGGACAATTTATTCTCTTTAGGGTTTAAGAAGCATTTCACGCCCAGAAATTTACAATTGAACTAAAGAATATCTGAAGTACATAGCAAATGTTTGGTACCTGTGCAGTGGTAAAAATATTTTTCAAGGGAAACCAATCAAAAGTGTTATTATGTCCGACTTTATAAGTGATAAAACGAAGAAAATGCAATCAATATTTTTTGAGGCTCACCTACATTTTTTTTTTTGTTTTTGTTTGGGGGGGTTATGAACAGTGCAAAACACAGTAAAAGTCTACCTGAAAAACATGTGGACATTGTTACTATAACTACAGGAAGTTAGAACTGAATCACTTGAAATTAGAACTGAATCTCTTTATGCATATTCATTTCACAAAGATCCTACTGGGCATTGTGCCAGACACATATATCATTATAAGACTCCTTCTGCAAATTAATCTTTAGTCATAATAATCAGGGTAAATGGTAGCCTAGTGGTTAGGGCATAGAGTTTGGAATCCTGAGTTCAAGCTCCACTCCCACGGACTGCCACTCTGGGTCCCTGAGCAAGACCCTTAACCCCACACACCTGGGCGCCGCACAATGGCAGCCCACTCCTCCCCAAGGGGATGGGTTTAATGCAGTTCATTTCGTTGCTCTGTACTTGTAACAGAGAAATGACAATAAAAGCTGACAAACAACTGTATTTACCCTGTGTTTTATCAGTTCTTGCTGCTGTTTAATACAACTTCTGTTTTTAAGTTTATCTTATAAAATATTCAGCCTTGGTTTGCAGGTGAATAACTCTTGTTTAAAAAGTCGCATGCGGCAGCCATACATCACCACTAAGCACTCTCCAGAATTTACAAATAACGATGTACCCATGCACCCATCACCTCCGACGTAAACCCTTACAACGCAGATTAATCCCTTGTAAGCTATTTCCCAGAAAGTTTTACTTCCACAGTGAAATGATGTCATCTGGATAACACCAAGCATAAAGCAGCCAACTAACTGCACAAAACACAAGCAAGAAGCTATAGAGATTATGCTGTTGTAAATAGTTTGAGAAAGCAAATGCAACAAGAATCCAAGCATTGTAGGTGAAAAACTACAACAATGTGTGATGCACTGATAATTCACAAAGGAAAACTACAACAACTACCTTACAAGCTATTGGTTAATACCAGATATCATCTTCTTAGCAGGAAATGTTTAACGTCAGAACCAAAACAATTTATTAGACAAGAACAAACTTAGCAAGTACATCCAGTGGGGGAAGGGGTTTGTTCCATTTAGAAAGACAAGTTTTCTGCTAGGTTTGGTTTAAATTATGAAACTAACAGCATATGCAGGAGCTTTAAAGACAACAACACGCCTTAAAGGAATAGTACACCCAAAACATGATTAGCCTTCATTTTCTACTCACCCCCATGCTGAACAACACTCTGGAGTACTTTTTTGATATCTCAAATGCATCTGGAGATCTGGGAGGCTTCTTGCTGTCTGCTGACATTCAAATAATGGAGGTCTATGGTGCCCGAGGCAGAAAGGTCCATAAAAGTCCACAAAAACGTGTCAATATTCCTCCATACTGCTCGTCCAATGTATTCCAAGTGTCCTGAGGTGGTAGCGTCCATAATTTACTCGAAGCAAAGTCATTTAGAATGTTTTTAGAGCATAAACAGTAGTGTATAGGATTTCCTAAAAGCGCGCGCCTGCGAGTTCACGAGCCTACGGAAACTGCGGCAGACCAAGCCATATGAAAGTGCACATTCAGCGTCTGCTCTTGATAATGCAAGCGTAGAAGAAGAAATTTGATGTTTACCTGTGCAAAGAAAGAAACAACGAAAGAAAAATGTCTGAGGACTTCAGTGTTGAGGAAGAGCATGAGTTCTTTGCCGAGCTGAATGCGCACTTTCATCTGGTTTGGTCTGCCGCGGTTTCCGTAGGCTCGTGAACTCGCAGGCGCGCGCTTTTAGGAAATCCTATACACTACTGTTTATGCTCTAAAAACATTCTAAATGACTTTGTTTCAAGTAAATTATGGATGCTATTCACTCAGGACACTTGGAATACATTGGACGAGCAGTATGGAGGAATATTGACACGTTTTTTGTGGACTTTTATGGACCTTTCTGTCTCGGTCACCATAGACCTCCATTATTTGAATGTCAGCAGACAATAAGAAGCCTCCCAGATCTCCAGATGCATTTGAGATATCAAAAAAGTACTCCAGAGTGTTGTTCAGCATGGGGGTGAGTAGAAAATGAAGGCTAATCATGTTTTGGGTGTACTATTCCTTTAAACATTCCAAATTCCAATAATAGATTAGTTTGAGTTGCTAATATATATCTATATTTAAACACGAAAATCAGTAGACAGTGATCAAGTGGTCGACTCACCTAATAGGAGTAGATCTCAGTTACTTTCTTCTAATGTTGTATCAGACCTACAACACAGAGGAAGAAATTCTGTGAGACTGGGTGTTTTTAACGGCAATACAAAAAAGAAACATTTCTAAAAGAAATAACAGAGGTACTAAATAGCTTAAATGAGAAAAATGCATTTAGAAAAGATATTTAACTAGAGGGACACCCTCAAAACCCGTTCACAGCCGATTGCATTTCAGCTTTTTTCCTGGTGTTTCACAGCCACAATTTAAGAATTACAATACATACAAGAAAAGATTAATTCTCCAGATATATTGAAAGATGTGGTCATTTTAAATTCAACAAAAAATAAAGGGATAACAAGATAATCTTCATTTAGACATCAAAGCATATGCTCATAAACTCTACCTGACCTTTCTTTTTTTTTTACTAAAACATTAAAGCAAACATCAAAGCTTCGAAACTAAAGCGGCTATTAAAAAGTAAATGAACTCATCCTACGCTCAGAATGACACACCCTTATCTTTTTTCAATTACTGATGTTCTGCTTAATGTCAAGGCAGTTTGCAAACTTTGGATTCCATATACTCAATCCTAAACTTTCCCTTCTCAAAAATAATGTCAGAGGTCTTTCATTTTTGAGCACTGATAATGTTTCAACCAATCCCATTTTATTGAAAATGTTTCCCCTTTTTCTTAGTACTACAAGGAGTAATAGAAATAGTGTAGATATAGAGTGTGTTCCTCAATTCTTTAGGCAATTAAGTTCATGGTACCATTAGAAGTAAATATAGTCGTTCATTAAGTGTAATAAAGACTGAAAAGAAATCTTAACTGTGATCGTTTTCTAGAAACCCTTTTGTCTAAAACTGTGGTATGGAATCGTCTCTGGATGTCATGATCTTGGCCCTGATGACTGGCTGGATCACTCATTTCATTCCCCTACCTAGCTCAGCCAGTTTTCTCATTATCCTTCATCTTATCCACCTGATGCAGCTTCTATTTAACCTGCTCTCTAACCAGTCATCAGAGCCAGATTATTCAAGCCTTTGGTGAGAGTTCTCCAGCGTACCTTAATGTGTTCTGAGTGCCTGATCCTGATCCGTTCTGCCTTTGGACGTCTGAGCCTCCACGTACCCGTTCTGATCTGTTTGCTTAACCTTTTTTACGGATTCCTGCTGGGTTCTGCCTATTGACGACTCTGGATCTGCTTCTTGTCACAGACCTGGATTTCCCTTCAGTACCTCTACTAGTCTCTAAACTTCTGGCCCGGACTGCTATGAACCTCTTGGACACCGGCTCTAGCTTCGTCCTCTGGATTGTCCTGCCCTCCTTCTCCTACTTGTATCTTAACCTCGATCAGTTCTGATGTCTTCAAGACTGCAGCATGTTGAACTCTCTGGGCAGCATTTGTTGTGTCATGTTGGCAGCTGGAATCTACCTCTTCCTCTGAATTTTAAGACCAGGTTAGTGACTCACATGTTCGTAATAATCCTCCGTCAGATTAACATAGTCACTAACCTGTTTCCCTCCTAGAGAGGTTCCTGCATTAGACGCCCTAGCTGCAATCGACAATCTGTTGTTTTAAGTAATTTTTGAGTAATCTTACTGCCTTTCTTGCCTTTAATACTGAGTCCTCCCTTCTGAGCCTTGACATAGGAGCAGGTAAAGTTTTAAGTTTTTTAGATCTCTATTTCTGCTGTTTCTCCCCTTTAGCAGTTTAATGAGTGAGACAGATAACAGACACAAGGAAAGGAACCAACAGTGTGCTAATTGGATCTGTAGATATCACACGATTTCAACTAATTTGTTTGCACCACCTTTGAATTAGTGCAGAATTAGAGCTGGTTAAGGTGAAAGTGTGACATGCTTCATTTCAACTGAGTAATTGGCGACTCAGAAAAACATTAATAATAAAATGGACCAATGCTTTAAGTATTGTCTTGAAAGGTACAAATCAATACCATCTGCTTCCATTCACAGAGATATATTTTATGCTATTCGTATAGTTATCATAATATTGTAACTGTAATTAGGTTATCAATGTGATATAGAAAGTAAATGTTGATTAAAATAGAATATTTTTTAGATGTATTCATTGAGGTAAACAGAATTGTCGGGTGAAGTCTCCAAATTCATACGCACATCTCTCTCCCTCCCGAGGGAATACTCAGTAAATGACTATGACTTGCTAATACATGGCCTTTAATCAACCACAATGTCCTTCTGTCACTTTTATTACTCCTTACTTCCATCACAAATAAAATCCACCCACACTCTTCACTCATACACACACCAATACAGAGACAGACACATGCATAATGCCCCTTTCACCTCAACAAAGAGGCTACCCTCCGTGACCAGAAAAGCATTATCATAATTTCCAGGGGGACCCTCCATTTATCTAACATTAGCAAAACAAATAATGTGTTCTTATTTACACAAGAACCTTCAAAATTATTGCTGAGTAGGCTGAACCAACGGGGTTTATTTTAAAACAACAAAATAAAAATCTTTTTTTTTTTTTTTTTTGTTAAGAGTCCCCACTATATTTTAGCAATAGACTGAATGGTGTGAATTACAAGAGCTAGAACTGATTTAATTCTGTATTCTTGACCGATCTGCTTTGAACTTGAACTCCATTGATCTTATCTGAGCAGAACTGAAGCAGGCTGAGCTGAAACAAGAGAAGAAAGACAAAGATAAGGGGGAAGAGTGGGGAAGGGGTGAGAAGTGTGAGATCCTAATAAGTGAAGACAGAAACACACCGAGACGTCAGAAAACTGTAGCTTGAGGCAAAGCGGGGATCGTGGGAGAAAGACCTTGTTTGAGATGGAAGCAAAAGGATAGAGGACCAAACATGAAAAAATTAAGAGCAAGGGAGGATCACAAGCATGCATTATTAAAGGGCAAATCTAAAAGCACTTTATCATCAGAATGAGTGTGTGAAGGGTGTAGAGCTATAGTGAGAGACAAGAGAAAAACATCTTAACACATTTTTGATAAAAATGATTTAATCTAAACTAGAGTTTTGAGTTTTTTTAATTTTCTTAGACTAATTCTAATTAATGAAAAGGTTGTTAGACAGACCTAAATGATCTACATATAAGCTATAGGTTTCCTTTTGTGCTTTAAAACTTTCAAAGGTGGAAATAACTATAGCTTTCAAAAGAGACCTACATATCTAATTCACACTCAAAAACACATACTTACATATTTATTATCTCCTTTTTTTAACCAACATCTTGCTGATGAAGATTCTCAGTCATCCAGGTCATAGTCATTCCGTAAAAGTTAAAAAAAAAATCCACTGGAAAAAATCCATTCGCAATTCAAGTGTGAAATTTGAATTGCGAAAGCTTCCTGGAGAGGTGGCGATCGTCTTCAAATCTTGGAAACCAAGTCCAGTGGATTTTTTTTTTTACTTTTACCGAACCAAGATCTTATTTGCTATTTTGCTTATTAGCAATTCTTTGAAGACACCTTTCTGCAAAAATGCTTTTTCACTGACTTGGAAGCCATCCTGATCATTGGTGCTTGAAAGGTCGGTTGGAGTTCTTGATCTATTAGGATTATCTACACAACCATGGCTTGGATTTACAAAGAAAGACCAAAGTTAGAACACATAGGATATTAACCAGACTGGTTAATTGGACAAAATTAGTCACTAAAATAATCACTTATTATAATCATGGATTGTGGAAAATTGTCCCTGAAAAGAACTTGTTCAAGCAATATGCTTTTACACAGAGATTTTTAGACAAACTCTTCAGAGGATGTCTTATTGTGCTAAACTAGAAATGAAAGCATGAAGAAGAAAGTCTCTCATGGAAGGCCTTTTGCTACTTTGGCATTCAAATGAAACTGAATGCCAAACTACTTCATGTAGCCTTTCAAGTCATTTAAAAACTATTGCATCTTAAGAAGTATTATATTACACCTTATAAAAACTCCAACATCAGAAAATAAAAGACTGAGAATCTTTTATTTCATCTGCAACAATCGGATGTTAGGGTCAGAATTTGCTGTAAACAGCATTAAGTTGTGCTTTGCAGGAACCATTCAGGGTAATAGAGTTGAGAAAATGCTGCTAGAGATATGTTCTTGCCAAGTTTTGGTCTTCTTAGCATGAACTGAGCTTTGCTTAAACACCACAGTAGGTGTACATATTTGTTCCTTTTCCCTTAATGTAACAATACGGAAAAAAATACTGACTTTAATATTAATATTTGATGAAGCCATCATTCAATTATATTTCCACAATAGTCTAAAATATCTTTGACACTGAAGTTAAAGAGATGAGGGCTGCTAGTTTTCTATGTTGTTTTTTTTTTCATCTACAGACCAGGATCAATAATATAACATAAGTGAACATATAGCCATTTAGATTGAGCCTCTTATTTAAATTAGCCCTGTGATTGTATGAACCCACAAGGAGTAACACCCCATGTGTTTGATGTTCTTTAACTAGAAATTTATTTGTGCCTCATAATGGCTCAGGTTTGGAGACTTTGCCTTAGAAGACAAATGCTATTTCCAAAAACACAGGCCTTTACTCTCTAGCTGCTGCTTAAAAATCTTAAAAATATTTAACAATAACCTTATTTAATGCAGCATTAATTAACAGGTAATGAGGCTGTTTTAAATCTGTGACTCACTTAACTTGAATTAGTAAACATGTTTTAATTTGGCATAAAAATATAAAATCTCGAACACATGACTAGTTTACAGTCCCTTAGGGATGCATCTAGTTCCTTGAACAGAGTATTTAATCATTCACAATTTTTCTTTATTAGCAATCTCACTTTTAGCTGCGGTAAGAATGGCTGGATTGTAACAGAGACTAAAATTGAAATCTAAAAAACAAAGGTCCTTTTATTTTCTGCAGGCTACCAATGTTTGGAAGCCATATTTTTAACTAATCTTAAAGGGGCGCAAATTTACACCAGAAGTTTACATTCATCATGTATGATAGAAGTGTCTTTCACATCAACGTAGTGAGAAAAGGAGTGCCATATGTCGGAGTAAAAAACTTATTGGCGACACTCTAAGAACCCAG